ACCCCTAATCCATAAAAACCACCACCACCCTTCAAACTCCCCCACCGAAATAACCACGCGACTCTCTTTTTGGTGTAAAACCGGCCATAACAGCCATTTATTTAACAAAAACTCTAACATAACACTTCTTACAGTTTACTCAAATAATGACTGACAGTAATAATCCCAACCGGGTCCAAGGTCCTCGAAGGCACCGTTACTCACATCAAAAACTCGGCACCCAATGAAAAGGCCCCCAGCCACTACTACACCGCCTCGGGGACAATACTACAGTTACGTAGTCCCAGATACAGCCAATGACCTCCCTCCTTACCAATGTGACCTTCTAATTGGGAAGGGACACCCACACCTACGATGGGCCCAACCCATAATCCACCAAATTGTCACTCCAACACCGCCTTCAAAGACCCAGCGACCTCTGCCGGCTGCAAAACATACAAACACCTCGGGACACAAATGCCGTTCCAGACAAGAAACAAACTCAATGAACCCACACAAAACAAACAACACAACAAACACAAAGAACAAACCAATAACCAAAACAGCAAAACAAAAACACAAAACAGCTCCAGGGAGGGAAGGCGGAAAACCACCCCCGTGCTGGCACAAGCTCCGACTGACCTCCGACAAGACCCAACCCACCTCCCAATCCTGGCAAGACCACCCCTCAATGTTGCGTACTCCAATCAGGTGAGTAACCACCCCCTTACCTCCTGCATATACTCCCACCCAAACACACGCTCCGCCTCGTCTGCACGCCCCAGTCATGCCGGTCCTCCCTTTTAGCTTTGCTCAGTCCAGGCCCTGACTTGGAAGCCCATTGCCTACTCTACAAGATGATACCACAGTCATGGCGGAAATGGGGAAATCAAACCCTTCAAACTTAGTTAGTCAAAAATAAATAAATAATAATTAAATAAAAATAAATAAATAAAGAAGGGGCTCACAATGGCGGCGATGTGGATGACGCGTATTCCAGCATTTAATTAAAGTCTTCTCGGTCCGCGGCTCAGTTATGTGGATATTTATTTACAGGAAGGAAGTGTTAGTTCACGTTCTCTCCCCCATAAATGTCATCTCGGCTATTTATCTTTTTTTATACGGCTCAATGTGCAGATTGAATCCAGTTAATTACAAACCATCAGGAATTGTTCACATTTTGTCCACATTTTTCTTTGTCTGTTCGGCGCGCTCCGCAGATTGGAAGGCAGCAAAGATTATTTTTCTTTCCCCTCGAAGCATGAATCACATGAGCTCCATTACACGGGCCTTTGTCTTGGGATCCTGCTGCCGCTTTGTACACACCGGAGCCGCGCTCTAATTCTGCACCTTTCCCACACCGCCAAGTCTGGAATCATTGAAAACCCGGCAAAAATTACCCAAATTTATAGAATAATGAGCCCTGAATGGCAGCTAATTGGACGCTTGTAGGAAAATAGTGGAGTGCCATGCCGGTTCCTGGGGATCGGGGCGGTGCGGCATTGTCAGCTCTGCAGTGGAAGTCATTCACAACTCTGAAGTTTAAATTTCATTAAAGCTACAGGAAGAGAAACACTCAGAAATGTTTAATTTCATCTATCGGGGAATCATTTCCAGTGCTCTGTAGAGATTGTATTAGTGGAGGAAAATCAATAGGCCATGGAGCCTACGACTGCCAAGCAGGAGGTGACTGTGGAAGGAATTGTAGAAAAACTTTGTGCTGAAGCTGATATTACGGGGGATCATCATTGCTATTACTACCCCATAGTATAGGTCTGAGCTATATGAAAGGGGACAAAGTCTTCTAAATTCTGTGATATGTACAGATACATGATACATGTAACACCCTCGAAGCTAGGGAGGGCTCGACCCTGAAGACTAGTGAGGAGCTGATCAGCAGCTCAGGTGAGATAGTCAGAGGGGTCAAATTTTGGTCAGGACTGAGAGACTGTAGGCCAGCCCCTCTGGAATTTTCCCCTGTTCTCAGGCTATCAGAGGAGGGCCTCTGTCAGGGATCGCCGCAGCACTGGGCTCGGCGCAGGCGCAGTGCACCGCCCTGTGCAGGGACGCGGGCACTGGGACCTGGCCGACCGCGGCAATCGAGTTCGCGCATGCGCAGTAGAGACCCCGGGCGCGCGCTGGCACCAATGACAGCGCAGGGCGAGATATTTAAATGGCCTTGAGCTGTCATTCAGTGCCTTCTAGTCTCCTTGTATCCTGTGAACCTGTGTATAGTAAGTTGCTGACCCGGATTGTGCCCTGACCTTGCTGTTTTCTCCTGTTCTGACTCTTGCTTGCCTGACCTCTCTCCTGGATGCCCCCTATTGGACCTGACCTGCTGTTGCTGACCTGGCGTGTGACCTGACTGTTCTCTGCCCGCTGCTTTGTACCGCACCGTCCCCATAGTTACCGACCCGGCCTGCCTGACTTTGCACTTGCTCAGCCATCCATCCCTCTCAACGGGGTCTCCAGACCTCCTCATATCTGGCTCTCTCCCGTGGGAGCCCCTGGCGAATACCCCTACCACTGACGGGTATCCTCAGTAGTCACAACCTGATCCCGGGGTGCTCCAAGTCCATCCCCACCATCAGGGGCTCTGGTGAACAAGTACTCTGGGGCTTAGACTCCGTACGCTGGGGACGCCTGATCAGTGGAGTGCTAGTGGTACCGCCGGGCGGTCCCTTGCAGCCTCGGGGGCAGTGGGTGGATCTGAGAAGTGACTGATGACACTCTTGAGGGACCTCCCCAACAGGGGGCTTGGCAAGGGGCTGGGACTCCCTCAAAAGTGGAAGAGCCTACTCAGTAGGAGGAGAGGAGTGTGGAGCAGGAAGATGTGAGGCTTGAGGAGGAAGGCTGTCAGATGAAAAATTGACCAGTAGGTATAGAACCCACTAGGAAAGAATTCCTCAGGAGAAAAGGCTGTCAGGAGGCCTAGTGGAATGGGGCCTGCCTGCGAGCCTGGAGCTTGAAAAGAGGAAAACTCAGGACTCACTGATCCCCTGAGTGAGGACCACCTGTATGGGAAGGAGCAGCCCAGCTGATAGGCCTGGTAGCAGCAGCTATTCCACAAGCGGTACAGGAGAGGGTCTGAGTGAGTACACCTGCACCTCCTGGGTGGATAGGGGAAGGAGCACCCTGGTGGGAAACCAGATGAGCCCCCTACTAGTGACTGTAACCCATTTAAAGGAACAGGAGTCAAATCTCCTTCTCAGGAAGAAAGTGTCCAGATTGCTGGGTGAAGAGGAGTCCATCTGGGGTCGGGGGGTTTACAACTGGAGCTGCTGGCCAGCAAACCAACAGAGACTGCGACAGAGAGAAGAAGCTGTGAAGAGTTCGGGAAGTTGTCCCCTGATTTTAGTTCCCTTTGGCATCCTATACACTCCTTACCCTATCCAAGTTCTAATCCCCACAATAAAATAACAAAGCAAATGCCCATGGACTGTTTTCTGTCTGCAGATGAGAGCTTGTGTGGGAAAATGCTAAATGACTGGCTGTGCAGGACTATAGGGGGACCCAATTCAACAGCAACCCCTGAGGGGGTAGTGCTACATACACAATGCAGTACCTGGGTGAACGGCGCACAACGTGTAAAGAGGCCCCAACTGGCCACCAGCAATGGTCTCCCTGGCCCAGGGCACCTTTCATCCTCTTCCTGAGACTGGAATGAGTTGGGGGACCAATTACCGATGAAGGATCTCCGCCATCTACTGTAGGTTACTCATGATTTCTCCACCTGAGATCCACCTCACTAAATACACAATTGTCCACATATAGTTACCTAGTTACATAATTAGTCTGGCTGAAAAAAGAAAAAAGTCCATCTATTCAACCATTACAAAAAAAACAAACCTTTTCAACTTTTTGTTGTAACCATAAACGGGGTTCGAAGTTCTTCCAGTAAAGTTGTTCATCGTCTCATTCTTTCCATTAAGCGGGGCAAAGCTGTTCCCTACAAGCTCCAGTTTAACATGTGTGTGGGGGGGGGCCTCTCTGGTCCGTGCACATGGGGCCTTTACTCTCTCCTCCGTCACGCTCACTAATGCCCGGGGCGGGGCGAGGCGGGGCGAGGCCATACTCCTGTGAAGTTCAACATGAAGGCGGCACCATATAACTGGTGCATTTGTACCATAACCTGAGGCTTTGCTGACTGCGCCACACTGGCCGTATGAATCAGACATTCTGAAGGGGACACCACAGAGTGATTTTCCGTTCCACCAGTTCAGCTCCCCCATCACCTTACCCCCAGTGATAGGGCTTGATTCTGCCAGGTGTTTGCATGGGCCCACTTGCATGCACAACTTATTAACTCCTTCCATACCTGCAGATAGATCCCTAGGGTCTCCCCAGCGCAGGGGTGGACTGACAACTCATGGAGCCCCCGGCAATAGGGGATCATGGGGCCCCTTTATCCTTGCCCAAACTCAAAAAAGCCTATGAAAAAGGTACCAGCGGCATCTCATGGGGCCCCTTACTGACCCCGGGCCCTTGGGCAGGGCCCTGGTTTCCAAATGGTCAGTCCACCCCTGCCCCAGCCTCACTTCATCTCCAACTTCCACCTGAACTCTCCTGCAGGCTCGGTTACTCTTAAAGGTTGTCCCAGCCCCATGCCAAGCCTACTGTTAGGGATCGGTCAGGATTATTCAAGAGCACAGACCAGCCATTCCTCAGATCCACTCCCTGCTTCTAGATCTTTCTTCAAAGTTCTAGAGCAGGGTGAAATTCCAGAAGCCTGTTCTGCAGAGCCTGTCGGCTCTGACCACAATTTGACCCCTGCTAGCTATCACACCCAGGCTGCTACTCAGCCCTCCTGGCTAACAATTGAGGTCTAGCTCCCGCTAGCTGCCTAGGAGGGTGCTACAAATGGTTAAAGAAATTTTACTTTAAAGCTCTGCAACAGTCCTGTCCAAGAACATTCAAGTCCCTAACTAGCTATTCCTATGCTGCCCAGGCATACCTGGGCAGGTTGGAGTCCATACATGGCAAAGTCCTTTTCAGGTACGTCCAGGGGGGACTGACAACTCATGGGGGCCCCGGGCAATAGGGGATCATGGGGCCCCTGTGTCCTTGCCAAAACTCAAAAAAGCCTATGAAAAAGGTACCAGGGGCATCTCATGGGTCCCCCTACTGACCCGGGGCCCTCGGGCAGTGCTCGAGTTTCCAAATGGTCAGTCCGCCCCTGGGTTTGTCCCCTTACGGTGACAATTACAGGTTACTCCTGGTTACGGGTGATCACAGGTTACATCCTCTTCCTTGGACCCTTTGCTTTTCTCCCATGCTGTCCCCTGGCTCTCTATCCAAACTGAGCCTTCCCCAAATTTATAGGCACCACGGGATAGAGGACAGAGCCCAGAGAAGCTCAGGAGAACATCAGACCTAGAGTTAACCATTCTCCACCTGGGCAGCCCAGAATCCCTATATAGCAGAAACCTAAGTTGAAGGCACCTGCCAACAAGGGTTTTCCAACCAACTCTTCCAGATGAAGAATGCCTAAAACGAGCTCTATAGTATCTCCCTGATTTGGAGCATCTTTTAGCACCAGACTGTAACCTACATGTTGGTTCTCTGCAGGCTACCAGGTCCCATTACCCTTCTGCCCCAACTTCCCCGATTCCTGAAAGAGAGAAGGACAGCCCAACCTACATCCACATTCAGGGGTGGGATGTTCCTTGAAGGGGTGCTAACCCCTGCTTACAAACTCTCTGGTCAGCACCGTCCTCTGGGTTCAGCCCGGCCTCAGAACAGCAAAGCATACGTAGACTACAGCTTCATCTGCAGAATTAACAGCCGTAATAGATGTTTATTTCTGGATTCAGGACCGCCGGTCCTCCTTTTCTGTTTCATCATAAAAAAGAATTGAGAAATGTCCTCCAAAGGAATCTGCAGCACATTATACGCAGATCGGTGAATGGAGCTCGTCTTCACAGAACATCGCTCTGATACTAAATAACCACAAATAGGGGCGGTAATTTACTACTGACCCCTAAATACTGGGGAGCCATTAGCATTCCGGGAACTCTATATATATGTAAATGGGGGCAGCGATATCAGATCACATTAAGCCCACTGTGGTGGAGGTCTCCGGAATGCCTACAGGATCCGTCCTCCCGAAGGCTGGAGCTCGCTAAGTGCTGCTTCCTACATATGAAGATTGAGCACCGCCGGCTTTACTGGCAGGATCATTCATCTGCATAAACAGGTCTGCGGTTATTAGTATGACATCATCAAGTACCTCATACACGCAGCCTGAGATTGAGAGTCGCGGAGGCTTGTCTGTTATTAACATATTGCTATTGGAAGAGAACACATCATGTCACCCATTTACCCCAGAATTTAAACTGGACTCCCAAACGTGAAGGAAGGGAAAATCTGAGCTCAATTGTCAATGTGGTTGTCAAGATCCATGGAGTACTGACAGGGGCGGACTGACAACTCATGGGGCCCCCGGGCCATAGGAGATCATGGGGCCCCTGTTTCCTTGTCCAAACTCAAAAAAGCCTATGCAAAAGGTACCAGGGGCATCTCATGGGGCCCCCTACTGACCCCGGGCCCTCGGGCAGTGCCCGAGTTTCAAATGGTCAGTCCCCTCTGAGTACTGAGGAAGACGCTGGATCTGTAGGAGCAGTTATGGCCTCCTCTCTGCTGCCAACTACCGAAACGGGGGTTGGCAGAGACAAGCCTCTCAGGGGCTGCACAGAGGAGCGCAGGATCTGTATGGGGAATTCTGTCCTCCTCTCTGCTTCCAACTACTGAAACGGGGGGGGGGGGGTTGGCAGAGACAAACCTCTCAGGGGCTGCACAGAGGAGAGCAGGATCTGTACAGGGAGTAATGTCCTCCTGCCTCTCTGGGGGGGTGCGAAGACAAGCCTCTCAGGGGCTGCACAGAGGAGAGCAGGATCTGTACAGGGAGTAATGTCCTCCTCTCTGCTGCAACTACTGAAACGGGGGGGTTGGCGAAGACAAGCCTCTCAGGGGCTGCACAGAGGAGTGAAGGATCTTTATGGGGAGTTCAGTCCTCCTCTCTGCTGCCAAGTACTGAATCGGGGGGTTGGCAGAGACAAGCCTCTCAGGGGCTGCACAGAGGAGCACAGGATCTGTATGGGGAGTTCTTGTCTCTCTCTGCTGCCAACTACTGAAACTGGCGAAGACAAGCCTAGGGGCTGCACAGAGGAGTGCGTGATCTGTATGGGGAGGGGCCTCCTTTCTGGCAGAAATGGGGGTGGGGGAGGGGGGTTGGCAGAGATGAGCCTCTCAGGGGCTGCACAGAGGAGCGCAGGATCTGTACAGGGAGTTCTGGCCTCCTCTCTGCTGCCAACTACTGAAACGGGGTTTTGGTATAGATGAGCCTCTCAGGGGCTGCACAGAGGAGTGCAGGATCTGTATGGGGAGTTTTATCCTCCTCTCTGCTGCCAACTGCTGATACAAGGTGGGGGCGGAGATGAGGGGGGTGCTGCAGCTGCAGGAAGCGAAAGGACCACATGAAATGTCCTGGCGGGCTGGATTCGGCCTGCGGGCCTTGTGTTTGACACATGTGGTGTAGGCAGTCATCTAAGAGTCCAAAGCTTTTAATGATAAAATTGGTTCATAGTAAACAAAAAATCCAACACGTTTCAGAGGCTCAACAGATTCCGCCTTCATCGGGGCTCAGGAATATTTAGTGTGCTTCAATGGAATGAGATGAGCAGATAGAAGACAGACCTGTACTTTGGTTTTCTGTTCGGGATGAGTTCAGAAGGCAGAATAGGCCAGTGGTATGAAGTGCAGCAATCAAGCATTACCTTTGCTATAGCTGCACTTTTACATACCGTTCCCGGTGAATATGGAGGTTTGCAGGATGTCCATGCCAGGTTTGCAGGATGCCCATGACAGGTTTGCAGGATGCCCGGACAGGTTTGCATGATGCCCATGCCCGGTTTTCATGATGCCCATGCCCGGTTTTCAGGATGCCCATTCCCAGTTTCCAGGACGCCCATGCCCAGTTTTCAGATGCCCATGCCCAGTTTGCAGGATGCCCATGTCTGGTTTTCATGATGCCCATGCCCGGTTTGCAGGATGCCCATGCCCAGTTGCAGGATGCCCATGCCCAGTTTGCAGGATGCCCATGCCCGGTTTGCAGGATGCCCATGTCCAGTTTGCATGATGCCCATGCCCGGTTTGCAGGATGCCCATGCCCAGTTTCCAGGATGCCGATGCCCAGTTTGCAGGATGCCCATGCCCAGTTTTGCAGGATGCCCATGTCCGGTTTGCATGATGCCCATGCCCGGTTTGCAGGATGCCCATGTACAGTTTGCAGGATGCCCATGCCCAGTTTGCAGGCCCATGCCCATGCAGGATCCAGTTTGCAGGATGCCCATGCCCGGTTTGCAGGATGCCCATGCCCGGTTGCCCATGCAGGATGCCCATGCCCAGTTTGCAGGATGCCCATGCCCAGCTTTGCAGGATGCCCAGGATGCCAGTGCCCAGTTTGCAGGATGCCCATGCCCGGTTTGCAGGATGCCCATGCCTGGTTTGCAGGATGCCCATGCCCAGCTTGCAGGATGCCCATGCCCAGTTTGCAGGATGCCCATGCCCGTTTGCAGGATGCCCATGCCCAGTTTGCAGGATGCCCATGCCCGGTTTGCAGGATGCCCATGCCCGGTTTGCAGGATGCCCATGCCCAGTTTGCAGGATGCCCATGTCCGGTTTGCAGGATGCCCATACCCGGTTTGCAGGATGCCCATGTCCAGTTTGCAGGATGTCCATGCCCGGTTTGCAGGATGCCCATGCCAGGTTTCCAGGATGCCATGCCCGGTTTCCAGGATGCCCCATGCTCGGTTTGCAGGATGCCCATGCCAGGTTTGCAGGATGCCCATGCCCAGTTCGCAGGATGCCCATGCCCGTTTTCCATGATGCCCATGCCCGGTTTCCAGGATGCCCAATGCCCGGTTTCCAGGATGCCCATGCCCAGTTTGCAGGATGCCCATGCCAGGTTTGCAGGAAACCTTGTATTGCTGTTTTCTGTAAATTGTGGAGGACAGAAAACAATCCAAGCTTCGGATGACACGCTTCGGCAATTCCCAGTGTTAGCACAAACGTGCTGAATGTGGAGACAGAAAGAAAAAGGTGTGATTGAGAATAACTTTGAAGATCCAGAGGGAAGCCGGTGACAAGGACTTGCCAGCTGTGTGAGGTGACTGGCGGGGTCAGATGCTCAGCTGCTGAAAACACAACGAGCGGTGGTCGGAGTTTCACAGAAGAGACACGGTTCGGGTATTTTTAGCTGTCAGATCTTCTCTTCTCTTTGAAAAGAAAAAATCCTTTTCCTCTTTTATTCATCTCCATCGTCTTATTTTCTGTGTTTCAGCTGAGTTGAAAGAGAGTTAATTTTTGGTGAGATAACCGGGAATGATCTCCATCGCGAGTCGTTGTGAAGGATCTGCAGAGGCTTCATGAGGTGCCCAGAATTCGAGGACAGCTCCTTCTACTTCCATCCTGAAGACCTGGAATTCAAAGGCTTTAGAAGTATCATGACTCCGGAATCTTCTAAATAATGAAGGAAAAGCCAATACCTGCGATAGACCCGACACCTGGACACCTGCCTCCGGTCTTCTGCTGAGAGCCCTGGGCCCAGATCTGGAGACGTTCCTTGCAGTTAGTCCATTCTACGGAGCACACTGCAGGATCAGGTTTTGCAAGACCATCAGTGCACCAAACATGTCTGCCTTTTACATTTCTACCAGATTTATTAAAAAAAAAAGTAAAAGTGATAAAACACTGAGCATTATTATATAGTGGGGATGGAAAGTTTTGGGCACCCCAGCTAAAAATTTGTATTAATGTGCATAAAGAAGCCAAGGAAAGATGGAAAAATCTCCAAAAGGCATCAAATTACAGATTAGACATTCTTATAATATGTCAAACAAAAGTTAGATTTTATTTCCATCATTTACACTTTCAAATAACAGAAAAATCAAAAAAATGGCGTCGTGCAAAAGTTTGGGCCCCCTGCAGAATTTATTTAGCATGCACTGCCCCCTTTGCCAAGCTGAGACCTGCCAGTGGTCATGGATTGTTCTCAATCATCGTCTGGGAAGACCAGGTGATGTCAATCTCAAAGGTTTTAAATGCCCCGACTCATCGACCTTGCCCCAACAATCAGCACCATGGGTTCTTCTAAGCAGTTGTCTAGAAAACTGAAACTGAAAATAGTTGACGCTCACAAAGCTGGAGAAGGCTATAAGGAGATAGCAAAGTGTTTTCAAGATGTCAATATCCTCTGTTCGGAATGTAATTAAGAAAATGGCAGTCATCAGGAACAGTGGAAGTTAAAGCAAGATCTGGAAGACCAAGAAAAATATCAGACAGAACAGCTTGCAGGATTGTGAGAACAACAATTGAAAACCCACGTTTGACTGCACGATCCCTCCAGAAAGATCTTGGCAGGACACTGGAGTTGTGGTCACTATTCCACTATAAAGAGATACTTGTACAAATATGGTCTTCATGGAAAAGTCATCAGAAGAAAACCTCTTCTACGTTCTCAACACCACAAAAATCATCGTTTGATTGAACTTTGCAAATGAACATATAGACAAGCCTGATGCATTTTGGAAACAAGTTCTGTGGACCGATGAGGTTTTAAAATTGAACTTTTTTTGGCCGGAATGAGCAAAAGGTACGTTTGGAGAAGAAGGGGCACAGAATTGAATGAAAAGAACCTCTGTCCAACTGTGAATGCATGGGTTGGATCAAATCATGCTTTGGGGTTGTGTTGCAGCCAGTGGCACAGGGAACATCTCACGAGTTAGAAGGAAAAATGGATTCAATAAAATTTCAGCAAATTTTGATGGTAACTTGATGCCATCTGTGAAAAAGCTGAAGTTAAAAGGAGAGGATGGCTTCTACAAATGGATGATGATCCTAAACACACCTGGAAATCCACGGGGGATGACATCAAGAGGCGTAAACTGAAGGTTTTTGCCATGGCCTTCACAATCTCCTGACCTCAACATCATTGAAAATCTATGGATAGACCTTAAAAGAGCCGTGCTGACAGACAGCCCAGAAATCTCAAAGAACTGGAAGACTTTTGTAAGGAAGAATTATTATTATTATTATTATACAGTATTTATAAAGCGCCGATAGTTGGCTCAGCGCTGTACATTACAGAGGGGAACAGAACATGTGACAGAACAATACCAATACAATGCAAAACATGAGGGGATCGAGGGCCCTGCTCCTTGGAGTTTACAATCTAGGAGGGAGGGGATGGTGGCACAGGAGGAGATAGCTGTGGGGGATGGAGTGGTAGGAAGAGTGAAGGAGGTCGGCAAGTTAGCAAGGGGTGGGGTAGGCTTCCCTGAAGAGATGGGTTTTCAGGGTGCGCCTAAAGGAGAGGAGAGTAGGTGATAATCTGATGGGTTGGGGCAGGGAGTTCCAGAGGATGGGTGACACCCTGGAGACGTCCTGGAGGCGGGCATGGGAGGAGGAGACCAGGGAACTAGAGAGAAGGAGGTCTTGTGAGGAGCGGAGTGTGCGTGTTGGGTGGTACTTGGATATTAGGTCAGAGATGTAGTTCGGGGCAGTATGGTGGACGGCTTTGTACGTCAGTG